GTGTGTGTGTGTGTGTGTGAGAGAGAGAGAGAGAGAGAGTGTGTATGTGTGTGTGTGTGTATGAGCTGAATATGCTGTGTTAGATGTAACAGTAAACAGTTGTTTGTGTAAAATTCTTCAGCCCACAAATTGCTCATTGCCATGGGTTTTCAGGCAACATCCTTTTCTGGACAACTATATCATTGCTTGTTATCAGTCAACGATCGGACGGCATTTATTTCTATCTTCCTCAAGCGTGAGAATAATCGATGTGACAAAAAGGTGTCAAGGAAGGAAATTCGAGCTGCTAAGAAAACAAAAGCAATTGAAAAATAGGGTTTTTTGTGGTCTAGATGCACTGTGGTAAATACACACATGTGAATTATATGACGTAAGCCGCCTTGAGTAAACCGTCTTGCGTTTCTGTTCGTAACTTAGCAAGTTTGATCTGTTTTCTTCTTTTTCCAATATAATATAACTGCTCTGAGGTTCGTCTCACGCAATACTATGTAATAATATCATTATAGGCTGCTTTACTGCGCAAGACTCATGCACAACGCGTTCAGTGCCCTTTGCGCATCGAGGTGTGTGTATGTGTGTGGAAGGGGGTGGGGGAGGGCTCATGGTAGTACAGGTGCATGCTTGGACTGGCTTCATTGGGTTACATTTTCTGTTTCTTTTTTTTTCATGGTTCTAAGGCGTTCACACTTCAGTGGTCTCGGCCCTTTGTCGAGCCTGGCGTTGGGAGTACTGCAAATAAAATAAAAAGTAGCTGTCCAGGCATAATAGTAGTTAAATGTAAGTTGACTCAGAATTATTTGCACGCTTTCGAGTGATCTACATTGTCTTTATCTAATTTGTTAGCCTATTTGCTTTAAACATTCCTGCCGCTATGTCCCATATATAGGATACCTATGTATGTCTGGCTTTGAGCTACTGTTTGCCATGCCCTCTAGACCTACAGATACTTTTATCCCCTTCCTCTTTCAAGTCCGCCCAGATACCTCAGTGTTCGGCGGTCATGGTCTATTGAAACCACGATTCAGAGTGAACGTACGGTGTGTGTGTGGGGGGGGGGGGCAATGTGAAGACCGTTAATTATGAAGAAAATGAACTGTTGAGACAATATAATTAGTTCAGACAATAAAATCAGATAGCTGTACTGAATAAAATATAATATGAATATTAGAATGTGACGTGTAACCCCCAATAGTGTGGTGCGGAGCTCTGGCCATGACGAATAGAATAGCCTAGGCTACAGCAACCATACTTCTCTCTGCGCTTGCGTCCTTTCGGTAGAGCTGGGCAATGAGTCGCTTCAGCAAAATCCGGATAATATTTTAGTGCACCTCTTCAGCTAATAATATGATAGGAACCGCTTCGGCAAATGGGTTAGAGCCACTTTGACAAACGGGTTAGCATCACTTCAACAAATGGGAGTGCACCCACTTCGGCAAACGGGTCAGGAAAGAGAGTTAAGAGTCTGAAATCGGATAATGTTTCATTGAGAATTATCCGGTTATCGTTTTGGATTGTCCGGATTTTGCCCACCTCTACCTTTCGGGCGGCTTCGTTCGCATCGATTCAATAATACCGCCACTCCCGGTACACTGATGCAAACCAGGCAACCGCGCGCTCGGCGCTCGCACTAAGGGAGAGAGCTGTGTATAGCGTACGGAGCGGAGTTTCGTCGGGAGACGACGTCTTGCATCACCCAAGCTAATATCACATCCCGCCTTTCGCACTCTTTTATTGAAAGCGAGGACCACATCTGCTCACAATGTTGCTGTGATAATACGAGAAGCTTTTTTCGCTGCTTTTTCAGATATACATAGATCTAGTTATTTTAAAACAATATTTTAGAGGTGTTAGAATAAGGATCTACTAAAAATCTAGACGATCGAAATCGCGAGCGGCAGTATAGGTTTCGCTGTGGTGATTTTGCTGTGCCTATCACTGGGCTGGTGGGTAACAGCTGAAACGTCAACAAGAGCTCAGGACAACCACTAGGATACCACGTGTCAGAGTAGTCCTTCTCGTCAGTGTTTGTTGGTGTGTGTTCGTGCGTGTGTGGCCACTGAGCTAATTTTAGCCGGCTGGCCGGCGGTGATAACTTTTCCAGTTTCCAGTCAGTGTGTGTGCGTGTACTTCGTACGTGGCTGTCTTTGGAGGATCGGTGGTGAGTTTTGTGTGTGTTTTTAACTGCTCACGACTAGTTCCAGTGTTCAATCTGTGTGTTTAGTGTTTAGATCTAGTGCTAATGATGAAAATCTCTTTCTACTTCCTAGTTTAGCCTGTAACTTCTAACTTCTTGTCGTTTTTTCCTTGTTCTCTCTCTCTCTCTCTCTCTCTCTCTCTCTCTCTCTCTCTCTCTCTCTCTCTCTCTCTCTCTCTCTCTA